TTTTCTTAGAACTGCCATTTTTACATACTGAGTCTTACATTCGATGAACATAATATAGTCCTCTGTTTATTTAGGTCCGATTTAATTCCACTAAATGATATTTTACGTTTCCTACAGAGTTCCTGCACATGGAATTGAGTATGTGGATATTCTTTTACTGTGTTTTAAGTAGTAACTTATCTCTTAATTTTAATTTCTAACTCTCTTACTGGGATTTATAAGTGCAATTATTTGAATACATGGCTATAGTCAGCTAACTTGCTAAACTCTCTCAAGTGAAGAATATCTAACATTTTCTGTGTATTTATCTTTTTGCAAATAATGTCAATTTTCTTACTTTGCTATGTTTGAGTTTTTATCTCTTTATTACACTGCTTCTGTATCCTCCAGAATGCTAGGAAATAAAGTAGTTAGAGTAGTACCCCAGCCTTAGTCCTGATATGAATGGAGAACTTTTCAATCTTGCTTCATTATAAGTAGTTATTTGGTACAAATTTATAATTTTTATTAATATTTTAAACTCAGCAGTTTTGAATTTGATGGTTCCTTTGCTTAGACCCCACCTTCCTAATTTCTCATGTCTATTCTCTTCTTTGGTATGTAATGTTCTGCCTCAAAATACATTTGATGCACCTAAAATGGCTTTGGGACTCTGTAACAGGCTGGTCTAATCTCCCCCATGCTCTGCAGTCAACAAAACACACTTGGTCCTTCAGTTATTCTGCTTCTGAGAAACCATCCTATCTATGAAGCTTCTCCTCAAAATTGTAAGTAACCTTTATATTTCTGTCTCTTATTTTAGGGATGATCAATGTTCTAAAGGCTTTAAATAAACTGTACCATGTATACTTTCTGAGCAATCTTATGTGGTTATCAAGTTTACATAGTAAGTTATATTGTGATTTGAAATTATATTAATAATAATTTTGTTTTATTTTTGTGGCTACGTCATTTAGGCTGTTTTGATAATGGAGATGATATTTCTAGTAGTGCTAACTTCTCCTCCTTGGAAGAGTCAAACCAGATGACAATTCTATTAAAAATAGAACATGTATTACCTGGAGCATGGTGTTTTCCCAGCCAAGTTCTTGTACTTGCATGACATTTTACTTAATTTTGTTCCAGAGTTATAACTTGGCATGGAGCTAACAAACCTTCTGAAAATACACACTCAAAATTGCAACAGGGATCTGATATGTTAGGGTAAGTGAGTCAGCACACATCCACAAAATCTTGTAGGAAAAATAACTAAGGTCTGAGAAAGTATTAATCATTTTGGTAGGCGAAAGCACATTAAAAAGTAACTCCTTCCAGATGGCAGTAGAGAGGGGGTTACCAAAGAGTCAAGATGGCCAAAACATTCATGATAGAGTGAATAAAGAGGAAAGTGCTTTGTACAACTCTAAATAAAGAGAATTATTCAGTGCTAAAAGTTTCTTGGGATAGAATTCCTTTTGAACCTAAATCTTTGCCTCAATTCAGCTCACAACAGTTTCTGGCTCCAATTTCAGTGTTATTAGAGAACCATATCATCTTTCTCATCATCCCTGAGACAGATAAAAATCTTCATCCCATTATTGATTGACATTTCTTTCCTAGGGTGAACTGGCCAGTCATGTATCAGTAATTGCATATGTTCCCTGAGAAAGGGAACCAGGCCTGGCTCAATTATAAGCTAAGTATGCTTGTACATATTTAATAAATACTTATTCATCTCGTGAAAAATCAATTTTCACTCTTTCATGAATAGCTAAATGTTTATGACAAACTGTATTATAATAATGGTAAATGATAGGACCATTTTAGAAGATCATTGTGCTATGCAAGGCAGCTACTTAAAGTAGCAGTTACCCAAACTTGATAATAATTTTCAGGGTTATAATGAAATCACACTAAATTAACACAATGTTAATGATGATCATAAAGCAAATATATTTTTTAAAGATTGTATTTATTTGTTTGAGAGGCAGAGTTACAGACAGTGAGAGGGAGAAACAGAGAGAAAGGTCATCTGTTCATTGGTTTACTCCCCAACTGGCTGCCAATGGCTGGAGCTGAGCCGAACCAAAGCCGGGAGCCAGGTGCTTCTTCCCGGTCTCTTATGTGGGTACAGGGGCCCAAAGACTTGAGCCATCTTCTACTGCTTTTCCAGGCCACAGAAGAGAGCTAGCTGGGACTAGAACCAGTGCCTGTATGGGATGTGAGTGCCGCAGGCAGAGGATTAACCTACCGTGCCATGGCACCAGCCCCCATAAAGCAAATATTTTCTCAAAAATAAATGAAATGGACATGAACTCATTTACTAACAGATATTCAGGGAGGCTCAATTAAATAAAAGAAGTTTTGAAAGAAAAAATTGGGAGCATGCGAATGTTAACAGAAAAGTTACATTCTTCTAAGCCAAGGCACTGTGGCAAAAAAAGAAAGAACGGGCCATCAAAGAAGGAGGAATCTTTCTCTGAAGGGAAGAGAGAACTTCCACTTTGACTATGGCCTTGTCTAAATAAGGTCAGAGTTTGTGAACTCAAGAGGCTTCCATAGCCTTGTCAGTTCATGACAAGAGCCTCAGGTGATTACTGATGTCATAAATAAGAGTGTCAATTGTTAAATCAACAACAGGAGTCACTGTGCACTTATTCCCCATGTAGGACCTCTGTCATTAATGTGCTGTACTATGAGAATTAATGGTAAAACTAGTCTTCAAACAGTACTTTATACTTTGTGTTTCTGTGTGGGTGCAAACTGTTGAAATCTCTACTTAGTATAGAGTTATCTTCTGTATATAAAGATAATTAAAAGTGAATCTTAACGAAGAATGGGATGGGAGAGGGAGTAGGAGATGGGATGGTTTGCAAGAGGGAGGGGAAAGACCACTATAATCCAAAAGTTGTACTTTCAAAATTTATATTTATTAAATAAAAGTTTTCTATTAAAAAAAGTTATGTTCTTCTGTGTTTTTGTTTTAAAAGTTCTGAAATCTATAGAAAAGTATCAAAAATAGTAAAATAAACATACTCATACCCTTTGTCTGGATTTGTCATGCTAACTGATTATCATATTTCTTACTCTTACTGTGTATCTGTCAGTGTACACACTGGATGATTGACAATTACTTGCACATATTATAATGCATACCTCAGTGTATAATCTTCTAAGAACAAAGGCATTTTCCTGTAGCACAATACAATGTTCTCACTCATGAAATTTTGCATTAATTCAATATGAATAATAATATACAGTTCAATTCAAATTTTCCCAATTTAAACGGGACTATCCTAAAGATGGAACTGTGTTCTGCAGCTGATGTCTGTTTCCCTCCTTGAACTTCCCCTCGGTGCCCTGTGGTAAAACCACGTGGTTAGCCATCTCCTGAACTGATCAGGGCTTTATTTCTTCCAGGCCTTGGGTAATGCCTGTACAGAAAACTCTCTCAGGTTTCCTTCAATTTCTCATGGCTTCCTTTTGGCAACTGCTCAATACAAAAGATCATTCCTTTTAACACAATGTTCTATATTACACTTTATCATATCTCCCTCTTCAAAAGTCTTACACTTTTGAAAATATTATTATGGATTGAGTTATATCTCTCTGAAATGGTTAAAATCCTAACTCTCAATACCTCAAAAGATGACTGCATTTGTAGATAGGATCTTCAAAGAGATGGTTAAGTTAAAATGTTATTGGAGGGGCCAGTGTGGTGACATGGAGGTTAAAGCCACCACCTGCAACACTGGCATACCCTATGGGTGCTAGTTGGAGTTCCAGCTGCTCCACTTCCAATCCAGCTTCCTGCTAATGGCCTGGGAAAAGCAGAGCAGGATGACCCTAGTACTTGGGTCCCTGCCACCCACGTGGGAGACCTGAATGAAGCTCCTGGCTCCTGGCTTTGGCCTGGCTTAGCCTTGGCCATTGCAGCCATCTGGGGAATGAACCAGTAGATGGAAGATCTCTGTCTGTGTCTCTCCCTTTCTCTCTGTAACTCTTTCAAATAAATAAATCTTTTTTAAAAAATGTGATAGAGGGAGCGGGAGATGGGAGGGTTGCAGGTGGGAGGGAAGTTATGAGGGGGGGGAGCCACTGTAATCCAAAAGCTGTACTTTAGAAATTTATATTAATTAAATAAAATTTTTTAAAAAAGTGATAGGAGTAAGCCCTAATTTAATGATGGATGTCCCTTTGAAAGGAGTAAACTAGAGCCAGACAGGTAGAAGACCATGTAAAGACACAAGGGAAAGACACAGGAGAAAGGCCTCAGAAAATACCAACCATGGCAACACCCTGATCTCGGTCTTCCGGCCCCCAGAATTGTGACAAAATATATTTCTACTGCTTAAGCCACAGAGGCACTGGTAAACTTCATTCTGGCAGCCCTAGCCCACTACTACATGCACTCAGCGCTCTATCATAATTTTACCAAGCCATAGGTCAGGTCATGCTGCTTGGCTGCCATACCAGTCAGGGCAGTGGTGATGGACTTTGAATTCTCCACGTTGAAGTTTATTTTGCACAGAACTTATTAGAATCCTGAGCACTTAGTAAACACCAATTTTGTGGTCCTTAATGCATGAATGAATTTAAATACCTTAGGGAAAAAAAATCAGTCCAGTAATTAATTGCCCATTGTTTTTAGGAACTTATCCAAGAAAACAATGTTTTCAATGTATCTCCCACATTCTGAGGGCCAAAGAAATCCTCAGATATTTTCTCTGCCTTTATATGTAACTATAATTTTCAAAAATTTTTAATTTTAAAACTTTTCAGAATTTATGATTGAAGAAAAAACCCAATGTACTTAGTTCTTTTTCCTTCAAGATAATTATTTCCTGAAAAATATGTCAAGTTGGCTTAAAAGAAGCATAATAAACATGACAAAAATTGAGACAATGAGAATACCATTAGTTATTCCAAGTAACCATAATATGAAATTTTTCATACTTTGAACACAAATTCCCAGAAAACTCAGAGCTTTACAGTTCTACCATGTTTGCGTGCATACTTACCTCTGTTCTTAGTGTGGAACATATTTTCCAATGGCGAATACTTTTTTGCCTCAGAGCCATTAATCTGCAGCATTAAAGCATCTCCTCACGGATGAGAAGATGCAGAGGCTGCTGTTTTGAGCACTGCTTTGTCATGGTTTCTCGTTGCTAGCAACACACGGAAGCACTGCCAGCTGCTGCCAGTGCTTCTGCTCGTCTCTTAACTAAATATGGGTGAATTTCTCCATGAGCAAAATGCTGTCATTAAATACTTGTACTTTTTAACATTAGAGCCTGATTGTTAAGTCATTAAAGGACTGGCTGAATCCAATTATAACATAAATGGTCTTGAAAACTTGGCTCTGACATGTTATATATTCCTAACTCAAATGAATATAATTCTCATGGTTTATGTTAACACAATAACTGCTAATCGAAGCCACTAGTAAGCAGATTAGCCCACACTTAGAACAACACCAAGTTTTGCTGCTGTGATAACTTCTCAGGCTTAGTACAGGGAAGAAAATAAACCATGGTCCTTTAAAATTACAAAACATTAAAATATACAAAATTGAGCATTTTAATAATATAGACATTTTCATAGACTTTTAATGTTAATTGTATTGTGAATTTCCTACAAGGGTATAGAGAATTTTTCTAGTTCAAAAACTTGTTTGGAGTAACTTATGGAGCAACTACTGAAAACATGGCTTAAAACACGTGAGTGTCACATTATATACAAGTGGCCAGAGCTGTGCCGATCCGAAACCAGGAGCCAGGAGCTTTTTCTGGGTCTCACATGTGGGTGCAGGGGCCCAGGGACTTGGGCCGTCTTCTACTGCTTTCCCAGGCCACAGCAGAGAGCTGGATTGGAAGTGGAGCAGCTGGGTCTTGAACCAGCGCCCATATGGGATGCCAGCGCTTCAGGCTAAGGCTTTAACATGCTGTGCCACAGCACAGGCCCCTAAACAAGTCAATCTTAAAAAAAAAAAAAAATGCAGATTCTTCTCACCACTGCATAGAACTTTCTCTAGGATAGACCACAGGCTAGACCATAAATCAAGTCTGAGAAAATTTAGACAAATAGAAATGATACTATACATTTTCTCTGACAATGGAATGAAGCTGCAAATCAACAACTCAAAAATCTCTAGAACAATATGGAAACACACAGAGATTGAACAACATGCTCCCCAATGAACAGTGGGTCTTAGAAGAAATCAAAGAGAAATCAAAAAACTGTTGGGGAAGTTTTCTTTTTTCCATACTATTTGTTGAACTCTTTACTTAGCATAGAGTTAATCTTCTGTGTATAAAGTTAATTGAAAATAGATTTTAGTAAAAAATTGGAATGGGAATAGGAGAGGGAGGAGGAAGGGTAGGAGTATGAGTGGGAGGGCAGGTAAAGTGGGAAGAATTATTGTTCCTAAAGTTGTATTTATGAAATACATGAAGTCTGTATACCTTAAATAAAAGGTTTTTGGGTACAAAAGTTTAAAAAAAAGTTATGGTAAAGACACAGGAGTAGAAACTGAGTATCTCCCACTGTGTGTGTGAATATGTGTATGTGTGTGTGTTGTGTGTACATATAAAGAGCTACAAAACCTCTAGAGGATGGACTTAAAAGATGTTTACTTGGTGCAAAAATGATGAAATTCATACACAAAAGTGGCTTTCAAAAAGTTCATACAAATGCATAAAAAAAAACTACACACGGATTTTAGTTTTTTGCACCAAACTTGTCTTTCAATTCCATTTTCCCCATTAACTTTTTGTAGTAACACACACACACACACACACATAAAATTTAGAACTGTCAGTACACCAAACTAAACTTGTCTTTCAATTACATTTTTCTCGTTAACTTTTTGCAGTAACATATATATAATATATACATATATATACACATACGCATAAAATTTAGAACTCTGTCAGTGCTTTACATGTTATATAATCAAAATGTAGAAATAAAACTACATAGTCCTCCCAAAAATTGAAGTAAAAATATAACTGCATATCATATTGTTATTAAACCACACAAATAAGAATTATTTGGGGTAATTTTTAAAATGCAGATTTTTTAACTGTTTATATCTAGGAAGATAAATCCTAAGGGTCAAAATCACCACAAAGAAATCACAATCTATATCAAGTAGCATTTCTTATGATAATATTTGCAGTTATTTTGAAATTAGTGTATGGTTACAGTTAGGATAAACCAAATAAATATTTACATGTAATTAGGAAAGAAAACTTTTAATATAAGAAAATTTGGGGGAAATATTTTAAATCCAAAAATATATACTACAGATATAAACTTAAAAGGTACACTTGTATAGTTAATATAAATACCAGTGGTAATTTGTTTTATAAAAATACAGATTGCTTGAACTTATTTCCCTTTAAAAAATACATATGAGGCCAGCATTGTGGTATAATGGGTCAAGCCACCAGTGATGCCAGCATCCCATATGGGCACCCATTCTAGTCCCAGATGCTCTACTTCTGATCCAGCTCCCTGTTAATATGTCTGGGAAAGCAGTGGAAGATAGCCCAAATGTTCAAGTCCCTGTACCCATGTGGGAGACTCAGAAGAAGCTCCTGGCTCCTGGCCCAGCCCCAATCATCATAGCCATTTGAAGAGTGAACCAGTGGATGAAAGATCTCTCTCTCTCTCTCTCTCAGTACGTTCCTCCCTCCTTATGTGTAATTTTGCCTTTCAAATAAATAAATAAATACAATATTTTTTAAAATACATACAGATGGGGCCGATGCTGTGGCACATCAGGTTAAAGCCCTGGCCTGAAGCGCAGGCATCCCATATGGGCACCGGTTCTACTCTCGTCTGCTCCTCGTCTGATTCAGCTCTCTGCTATGGCCTGGAAAAGCAGTAGAAGGTGGCCTAAGTCTCTGGGCCCTTGCACCCATGTAGGAGTCTCGGAAGAAGCTCCTGGCTCCTGGCTTCTGATCAGTGCAGCTCTGGCTGTTGTGGCCATCTGGGGAGTGAACCAGCAGATGAAAGACCTCTCTCTCTGTCTCTACCTCTCTCTGTAACTCTGTCTTTCAAATAAATAAAAATAATAAATCTTAAAAAAATACATACAGCATAAATATCTCTGCACTGAAATGCTCCAAAATCTATGACAAAGCAGTAGTGTGACTCTCTGGGTCCCAGATTCTGGTCTCTGAACTTCACTTCCCTCCTTAGAGAACTGATTGTTTCTATGTCTGGGTGCAAAACATGTCCAACAAGCCTGTAGCATCTTGTGGTACTGAAAAGCTAGAACACTATCAAGGACTACAAGGTCATGTCAAAGAGAAACAGAAAAGATTGAGAAGATCCTCCAGGTTCAATTGTGGAACAGAACCACTTGGGCATCAATAAAATGAGTTTAAAGGACCGAATACACTGTTCTCATATACATTTGTAAAACCACAAGTAATCACACACATATAATATACATTGGTCAATTTTAAGAGCTCCTAAAAAGTTCCAAGAAAAATGTGGTACTTTTCCAACAGCATTGTTCAGTGCAAAATTCAGTCCTCAATTTGAGCCAACGCAGACGTCCATGAAATCGCCCAGCGTGCCGTGCACTGGCTGATGCTATCGCTGAGACTGCTCCCAGGAGGTTCTCCCTCTGCCCCCGAGCCCTTCCCCTCACAGGAGTCTCCTAATAAATATTCTGGATGCCACCCTCTCCAACAGGCTCGCCCCAAGAAATTCAACCTGTTGGAAACATTTGTTGTCATGTGTGACTTAAGAGAGCAGTCTAAGGCTTTTAAAGCTGAATCACCTGCTCCTGCCATGGGGACCCTGCCCCTGAGAACAGACGGCTCACACACAGACTATGGCACAATCCTGTAATGCAACCAGTGATATTCTCACCATACTGGTACCCAGGCGAAGTCAAATGCAGTGGCTGCTGCAATGTGTCAGACACTTCAGATAATAGTAAATTTAAGCAGTATAGTGACTGGAAAAAAGGAAAAACCAAGACTGATTAATCTGCAACTGAAAGCTAAGTGTAAGTGTTATAGGCCTCCTTTGTATTAGACAGATAGATAGACAGGTGGATAGACTCACAAATGGGGAGGGGGTAACCTTTCATCTTCTGCAGCTGGAAGGCAGTGTTTAGAAAAAGCTGATGATGACAAGGCCCATAATAAAATTAGCCCAAACCCAAAAAAGATAAACATCCAACCCAGGCAGATCTGCAGACCCAGTGTCAGGTTTCTGTTTGGGAAAGCGTCCTGGCACACAGGATAGGGAGACCTAGGTTAATGTAACTGAAGGTCTCGGTTTCCCTTCCTGAATATATGGATCCCAAGAGCAAGGCCTAATACAGAACCTGCATATTAACCTCCATTTCACTGTCTGCCTCCCAGAGAAATCAGCCTGCAGTAGTAACCAAATACCTGAGGAGCATAAGAATCTTCTTTATGAAAGAATTCTAGATAATAAATGCAGAAAAATTACACTAAAAATTAGCAAATCACTATTTAGAGACTGAATGATATAATATATTGATCCAGAACACACACCACCATGATTTGTGATTAATATCATTGGGTCAATATTTATTGAGGATCTTTTTATCAAACAAGCCACAAACATTAACCCACTAAAAACTCTTAACATTACAAGTGAGACAAACTAATTTATATACTTGCCAGGAATATGATGAAAGTTATTACATAGGCCACCACTTATGAAGTATTTTTTTCTAGAAGTTGAACCTGAATTTAAATCATGTCTGTAAACTATCAATTTATAGCCAATGTGGCAAAGAAAGGAATAAGTGATTACAATTGGCTATATCTAGAATGCGGAAAATTCTTCAGGACAAATGAACAAACATGTTTAACAGATATACGGCATTATAAAAGAGCATTTAGAGATACATTAACCAAGTGCAGTGTGCAACCCTTGTTGGGATACTGATTTAAATAAATGGAAATACTCTTGTTTAGACACATAAGGAAAATAAAATATGGACCTGGTAGCTAGATGATGTTACACTATTTGTAAAATGTTATCTTTGATGAAATACTACTAAGTTTTCCTAAACTGCCATTTATTAGAGATTCATGTTGAAGTATTTTTGGGTGAAACAATATAATATCTGATAGTCGCTTTATAACAATATAGGGAAAATATATAGGTCAGAGAGGAGAACAGTTAAAATTGCTGAACTGGGTGAAAAGTAGATAGATATTCATTATGCTAATATGTCAATTTTAGTATATGTGTAAAATATCAAAAATAAAAGCTTTTAAGCATTACTTACATCCTTTTTTAAAAAAGATTTATTTATTTATTTATTTGAAAGTCAAAGTTACAGAGAAAGAGAAACAGATCTTCCATCCACTGGTTCACTCCCTAGATGGCTGCAACGGCCAGAGATGGGCCTGATCAAAGCCAGGAGCTTCTTCTAGGTCTCCCACTTGGGTGTGGGACTTGAACCAGTGCCCATTTGGGATGCTGGCACTGCAGAGAGCGGCTTAACCAGCTATGTCACAGCACCAGCCCCAGTTACCTACATACTTAATGTTACATCATGTGAGTAGCAACTTATGAAGTAATTGACTTTAAAAAATGTTGGAATTTGGCCGGCACCACGGCTCAATAGGCTAATCCTCCACCTAGCGGCGCCGGCACACCAGGTTCTAGTCCCGGTTGGGGCGCCGGATTCTGTCCCGGTTGCCCCTCTTCCAGGACAGCTCTCTGCTGTGGCCCGGGAGTGCAGTGGAGGATGGCCCAAGTGCTTGGGCCCTGCACCCCATGGGAGACCAGGATAAGTACCTGGCTCCTGCCTTCAGATCAGTGCGGTGCGCCGGCTGCAGTGCGCCAGCCAGCCATGGCAGCCATTGGAGGGTGAACCAACGGCAAAAGGAAGACCCTTCTCTCTCTCTCTCTCTCTCTCTCACTGTCCACTCTGCCTGTCAAAAAAAAAAAATAACGTTCTTGAGAAGAATTTTAATGATCATATTAAGTGTAACAAATAAATACATATTAAACATTAATAATTAACAGTTGTTAGTATTAGCATATATCAGATTAATCATAAAATTTCTGCTTCACCATTTTCTTTTTTTTTTTTAAAGATTTATTTATTTATTTGAAAGTCAGTGTTACGCAGAGAGAGAGAGAAGGAGAGGCAGAGACAGAGAGAGAGGTCTTCCATCCTCTGGTTTACTCCCTAGTTGGTCACAACGGCCGGAGCTGTGCCAATCGGAAGTCAGGAGCCAAGAGCCTCCTCTGAGTCTCCCCAAGCGGGTGCAGGAGCCCAAGGACCTGGGCCATCCTCCATTGCTTTCCCAGGCCACAGCAGAGAGCTGGATTGGAAGTGGGGCAGCCAGATCTTGAACTGGCTCCCATATGGGATGCTGGCACTGCAGACGGCAGCTTTACCTGCTACGCCACAGCGCCGGCCCCATTTTCAATAAAAATTCTTAATTTCCTTTACAAAAGTACTGGCATAATTTTATCTGAATGAAAATTTACCAAAAGCAAAGTTGGACATTTATCACAGTGATTAAGATGCCACTAGAGACTCCTGCATCCCGTATCGAAGTGCCTGGGTTTGAGTCCCAGCAATGCTTCCAATTTCAGCCCCTGCTACTATGAACTCTGGGAGGTCGCAGGCTAGGGTTCATGTATCTGAGTCCCTGCCACCCATGTGGGAGATCCAGACTGAGTTCCAGTCTCCTGGCTTTGGCCTACCCAGCCCTGGATATTGTGAGTATTAAAGGATGGAGTAATTCTCTCTCTCTCTCTCTCTCTCTCTCTCTCTGCCTCTGTCTTCAAATACAAAAAAATTTAAAAATTTGCCCAGAGCAAGTTGATTACTTAGACAATGCTACTAGAATAATTTTATCCAAAAATACTTATTTTAAAAATATTTTCATTTCAGTTCATCATGGAAAACTATGTGAATATCTGCATAAGTTCTATTGATAATTTTTACCTAGGGAATGGATGGGCTGTTAACAGATTGTCAAAAATTTAGCCCAGTTGTTTTGGATATTTAGATTTTTTTCAACTTTTGGCATTTCAGAGAGCATAAGAACATAGAAATGCAATCAAAATATTTACTATGATTATAAAACAAAAAATACTTTTGAACAAAAGTTTTAACATTCCATATAAAGCGGTACAATATTATCTACATGTAAACTTTTATAAATTACACAGGCATGTTAGCTACTTTTCAGATTTGGGGTCAGCTGGCACTGTGGCACAGCAGGTAAAGCTGCCGCCTGCAGTGCCGGCATCCCACATGGGTGCCGATTCGAGTCACGGCTATTCCAATTCTGATACAGCTCTCCGCTATGGCCTGGGAAAGCAGCAGAAGATGGCCCAAGTTCTTGGGCCCCTACATGCACATGGGAGACCCAAAAGAAGCTCGCTCGCTCTCTCTCTCTCTCTCTCTCCCTCCCTCTTTCCCCCCTCTCCCCCTCTCTCCCTCTCTCCCTCTCTCCCTCCCTCTTTCTCTTTCTCTCTCTCTCTCCCTCTCCTTCTCTCTCTGGGTACTCTGACTTTCAAATAAAATAAATAATTCTTTAAAACAAAACAAAACAAAAAGATTTGGGGTCATCTAGAAGTGAAATAAGGGCTATTTGAACAGAAGCACTGTTACAACCCAATAGTCAGTCTGATTACAAAGTGACCACAGGCGGGTAGTGCATGCAATGCAGATACACTGGACAAAAGGAAGATTTATGTCCTGGGTGAGGCAGAGAAGGACAGCATATGATTTTTTTTTCACAGTATTGAGAATAGTGTGCAACTTAAAACTCATGAATTGTTTACCTCAAGAATTTTCTATTGAATACTTTCAGACCAGAACTGATCATGGTTAACCAAAACTGCAAAACACAAAGCCATAGATGAGGAAGGACTGCTGTAACTGCTTTAGAGAACTGCGTGTGCAAACGGTCGTGTGCATGCACATGGTGTTCTTTACGTGGGTGTGTTCTCCAAATTTCTTCTTCTTATAAGGGCAGCAATCAGTATGGAATTAGCATACACTCTAATGATCAATTTAACTTAATTACCTTTTTAATTATTATCTTCAAATATAGCACATTCTGGAGTAGCAGGAGTTAAGAGATAATTTCTAGTTACACAGTGAAAGGCAGGGTGGCATTTGAACAAAGACCTGAAAGCTGGGGAAAGAAGCCATGTAAATATTTGGAGAAACAGCATTCCAGGCAGCAGGAGCAACATAAGTAGCAGCTCAGAGGCGAAAGTGCCTTGGGAAACAGAATGTAAGCACTGGGCCTACAGGAGGGAGAGAGCAAAGTGAGGGGGTCAAGCTCACAGAGGTAAGGTGGCACAGGTGCATAATCCTGCAAGCCCTGGTAACGGCTTTGTCTTCACCCTTAAAGAGGTGAGAAGTCTAGAAGTTGTGACCACAGAAGTGAAACTGTCTGCTTATGATGAAAGATAATCCTACTTGGTGGGCTGCAAGGTCCTTGGTGACACCATCATTACAACAGGTGAGAGATGATGGTGGCCTGGACCAGGGTGGTACAAAAGAATGTTGCAGGAAGTATTTGAATTCTTGACTCAATTGTCATTTTTTTTTTTTTTTACTGTCCAGTTAGGAGAAAAAGTCCGGAAGAATTTTAAAAATATTTTCTAAAAAGAAAAATAAATCTTTACGTACTAAATAATATTGAGGTTATAAAGCTAAGAGGCATTTGGGGGATTGGCACTACGGCAGAGCAGGTTAAGTGGATGCCTGCAGCACCAGCATCCCTTATGGGAGTCAATTTGAGTTCTGGCTCTTCCACTTCCAATCCAGCTCCCTGCTAATGCGCCCAGAAAAGCAGTGGAAGATAGGCCATGTGTTTGGGGCCCTGCCACCCACATGGGAGAGCCAGATGAGCGCCCTGGCTCCTGGCTTTGGCCCGGACCAGTCACAGCCATTGCAGCCATTTGGAAAGTGAACCACTGAATGAAAGCTCTCTCTGTCTCTCCCTTTCTCTCTCTGTAACTCTGCCTTTCAAATAAAAAAAAAAAAAACTTTTTTTTAGGAGAAATTTGGAAGAAGCAAATCAAGCAAGGTGAGATTATTGTGAATGATAATAGCATTTGGATAAAAACAGTAATTGCTGGCATTCATTGTTTTCATTATGTGCCAGGTACAAGGCAAGGTACTTCGTGTGCATTGTCTAATTTAATCGCTACCACACACCCGTGGTAAACTGCTGTTCCTGCCCATTTCCCATAGGAGAACACCAAAGAAAGACTGGAAAAGCTCAGTAAGTCCAAGGGCCATAGCTGAGAATTCATTATGACCTGCCTTTCATTAGAGCCCACTCTCTAACCCAGCACTCTGTTCTGACTGCCTATATAGAGGGGGACAGAGAAGACATCCCCAGTGAGTGAATCCACAGGAATGAAGGGCAGGAATTTGCAGGTTTTGGTGAGCAAGTGAGAATGGCTCATCTGGAACTGAAGGTTCATGTCAGGTTCAGAAAGAGAAATAGCAGAGACTGCAAACTGGAAGCAGACTTCAGAAGTCCTCAAGAGATAGACAAAAATGCTTCAATTATAATCAGGAGGGAGTGGGGAACTAAGATGAGCTCGGCAGGAAGAAAGTAATTCAAGGTTATTCTCGGCACCCAGCACAGGATGAGCTTCAGTCAGGAGAGACCCGGTAAGAGGAACAGTCAGAAACTAATGTGATGATTCATATGTGAGAGAACCAGAGCTTCTAAAAGGAGGGACAGGAAAAGGTAAGCCTCAGCAGTGTTTCCCAGGGGAAAAAAGCATTATTTTTAATCCAGCACATATTTTCTTCTGAGTTGTTTACAACAAATACAGAATTAGAATCCAGGCCATGTCCACAATTACTTGCGTGAACCTGGACAGGTTATTTCTTTGGGATGTTGCTTCATCCATAAATAAAGTTGTATGTGGGGAGCAACTCGGACTAGACTAAGTTACTGGAATTAAGATTTATTCTATGCATCTGCTCTCCCACAATATGGCGCTGAGAAGGGAGAAACAGCTTCTACACAGCTGCCTCCAGTTCAACCAATAAACTGTAGGACCTACTCCTGATTGGAGGAGAGCAGCGTACTCGGCGTGTGGGTAGCAGAGTTGGGATTGGTGGAAGAGGACTATAAAGGAGGAGAGAGACAACATGCACCAGGAACATCTATCTGAATAACACCTGTGCAGCCCCCGAGAGAGCCGGCCGGCGGTGTGCCGCTCTCCCGCGAAAGTGGCTAGGGGGAACCGCCCTTCCACGGAGGTGGAAGGGACGGTAGCCAACCCGGGAAGAACCAGCAGCAAACCCGGGGAGGGCCGAGCAGACAAAAGAACAGCGCAGGGTCCTGTGTCGTTCCTCCACGAAGAGGGGGAGCGACATAATGGTGCCGTGACTCGGATATGAAGCCTAGGCAGGGTTTAGTGTCGTTCCTCCGCGAAGAGGGGGAGCGACAGTTGTACTAGATTATCTTTCAATATTTGGGCCTTCTTTTATGCTATGGTCAAGATGTGCTTGTTTTACAACTCTCTATGGCTGTTCCACATCATGTGTGAAGATGGCAGCAACGTGCTTTTGATTCAGCCTTTCCACTTAGCTGTAAAAATATATTGATAAGAACTGCCTGGCATCCTCCAGAACGAGACCTTCGACAGCACCCAGGGTGCTTCACTTCATCCAGAAGCTTTCTCAAGCATCTTCAAAGGTTGGTTATTCCCCAAATATTTGACTGCTTTTTGCTGCAAGAACTGCCCTAGCTGGGCAATAGCACTAAAACAGACAAAAATCCTGTTCTGATGCATTCAGATGCTAACGTACCCTTTCACAATGAGAGTAGGAACCGGCAGGAGAATAACTTTCTCTCAAATCATCTCTTCAATAGAACTTAACCCTCTTTGTTTCCAAGGCCTTGTTTTGTTTCATCATTTGCAGTGTATATTAGCAAAGCACCATGCTATCATCCATCCCCACGCAGCTTTAAGAAGCAGCAGTAATTCCACAAAGGCCCCTAAGCACTATCAGCTACCTGTCTGATGACCCTAAGCCAGCACCACACATGACACTAGCAGGACAAGTCTGCTTCCTTGCTCTGCCATCGGTCCCAATGATGACAAAGACATATCCCTATATTTACATTTACACAGGTGCCTTATGGAGCCAGTTGCTATCTTCTTTGTGTGGGGTCAAGTGGAGTTTTACTCAAGTCAAAGGTAATCCAGCCAAACCATACTTCTTTCATTTAGCTAACAGTATGGCTCATGCTATTTTTCTCATGGTCTACCTTCCTCACTTTTTAAAGACTCAGTGTAGCAACAGCCACAGTAATAATAGGTTTGAGCATCGAGTTTCACATGGAACTCATCGTGCATCTCGCGACATTAGCCCAACTCTTTCGAAGCCCTGAAGGCATCATTTACTTCAGTGGCCTTTTTTCATTTGTAAACACTTTAGTAGTTGAAAAGAGTTATCCAGAGAAAGAACCTAACAGACCTGGTCAATTCAAATAAATGTCAAACAACTGTATTGATAGCATTGGCATGTCAGCTACGAGCCCTGTAAAGCTGCATTTTGGTGTCACCTTTTTCTTTTGTTTGGCTCTTTTTCCCCTACCAGTGGTAGCTTATTCTTCAATGACTGCTTTTCATTTCCAGAAAAACATTGTTTTGTGGTACTTACTTGAGCAAGAGCACGAACATCCCTGACAAATCCTTTTCATGTCATATTAGGTTTATATTTACTCTTTTTATTAATTAGATAGTCATCCACTTTAACATTTCAATATTTTAATTATCTTGGAAAACATAAAATAAGATAAAAAGTTTTAAAAACCCATCAGTGTAGAACAATCAAAAATATTTAGAATCCACTTCCTTCAAGGCATTAAGATTAAATTTCATCCACAATGTGTGATACTGTTTAGGACAAAATGATGCTCAAAAATACTCACTGAATTGAAGTGAGACAGGAAATTAGCCTATAGCTGAAAAGGGATGATACCAGAGAAAAAATTTTCTTAAACAGTCCCTAGTCATCCGTGTCCTGCTCCATTTCTCAGCCATGCCTATCACAAGTGTGGTTCCTGGTTCATCAGTACATATGGAGGCAAGATGGAAGTGGGAATCTCTGATGCCACTCCAGACTTACTAAGCCAGGATCTCAGGAGCAGGGCCCAGAAATCTGTGTTTTAACAACCCTAACCCTGTTTCTTAGGAACACTGGGTTTGAAAAGATTTGCTCTGAACTATTTTCAAGGGGCTAGTGTTGTGGCTTAGTGGATTAAGCCACCTCTTGTGATGCTGGCATCCCATATGGCCCAACTGCTTGAGCCCTTGCCACCCATATGAGAGACCCAGAAGAAGCTCCTGGCTCACCCAGTCCCTGCTGCTGTAGCCATTTGGGGAGTGAACCAGAGGATAGAAGATCTCTCTCGATCTCCCTCTCTCTCTCTCTCTCTGGATCTCTCTCTCCCTCCCTCCCTTACTCTAACTCCGCCTTTCAAATAACTAAATAGGGTGGCACTGTGGCACAGTGGGTTAAAGCTCTGGCCTAAAACTCCGGCATCCCATATGGGTGCTAGTTCTAGTCCCGGCTGCTCCTCTTCCAATCCAGCTCTCTGCTATGGCCTGTGAAAGCAGTGGAAGATGGCCCAACTCCTTGGGCCCCTGCACCTGGGTGGGAGACCTGGAAGAGACTCCTGTCTCCTTGATGTAGGCAGGCATACAGGTTAAAATTGATTAGGTTTGTGAGCTGGAAGATCACGTCTTCGCCACGCCCCTGTGTGACCTCATGCCCCTACCTGATACCTTCGCCACGGCCCTGTGTGGCCTCATCCCCCTACTTGGCCACACCTGGGTTAATTAATCAGGTTAATTAACCACTCCCCTTTGGAAGTGGGTTTAAAGCCAGGACACAGTGTTGCCCGGCCCGCTCTTCTTCCCTGGCCTCTTGTCAGGAGGCCCAAAGGCCATGTGCTCTAGGCTTCCTGGCCCAGATACAGGCCTAGTTGCTCTTCCACGTGGCTGGTTCCTAGTGCTTGGTATGAACCCCTATTCACCTCTCTCTCTCCTAAATAAGCTCTCACTCTCCTATGCATCTTTCTCACTAAATAAAAGCTTAAAACGTACCATGCTGCCTTGTTTATCTGTGCTGGTATTTAGAATTCTTCTCTAAATATTAGGCAAGAACCCTCTTGGGCTTATTAATATCGGGGATTTAGTAATAAGCCCGTGGTGGAATGATAAGGCACCCCAAATTCTGGTAGCCCATGTGGCACCCCGGATAGCATTTCTAGGGAACTTTAAGGGGCCACATTTTAGTGTGAATTTTAGGGGGTCTTCTCCAATTTCATCCTGGCTTCAGATCGGCGCAGCTCCAGCCATTGCAGCCATCTGGGGAGTGAACCAGCGGATGGAAGACCTCTCTCTCTCTGTCTCTACCTCTCTGTAACTCTGTCTTTCAAATAAATAAAATAAATCTTTAAAAAAAAAAAACCAAATAACTAAATAAACTCTCCCTAAAATCATCTTGTTTAGCTACTATTCAAAACAGGATCCTCTATTTAGGGTTTTTGATTAAGATACTTAGAAAGTAAGATTACTAAATAACAATTTTATATAACATAATAATATAACTTATGCACACAGAGTACTTCAAAAAGCTTGTGGAAAATGGAATTATATGTTTAGTTTGCAAAAAATATATTGATGTTCATGCATGCAAGTTTGTGTGTGTGTGTGTGTGTGTGTGTATAGAATGAACCCAGGCATCCTTCATGAGGCCAAGGTAGCAAAGCTATACCTGCGGTAGCATATTATTCCAGAACTTTCTGAACATTCCCAGATACTCTTTTCTAAGAATGTCTCGCAAAAGCAAAAGACAGACTGAAAAGGCCATTCCCCCTTCTCTCTTTATAAGCACACCATCACACAAAGTGAAACAACACAAACAAGATCTGTTTGCTTGCCTGATTTTAACAAGGCGAGCTGAGGACTTGCAAAGACTTTGCCTTTCAGCTCGTCCTGCAGCCTGCTCCTCAGGGCAGTGGAAGAGGAAAGTGCAGGCCTGAGGGGTGGACAAGCTCTGATCCAAAACCTGACGGTGCTGTGTAACCTCAGACATATTCTTAATATCTCGCAGGGTCTTCGTTTCCGTATCCCATTCCTCAAATTCCTTATGTGAGAATTAAATAAAACACTGGGATAATAGCACAGTGTCTGACACACATGACGTCTCAACAGACCGGTGTTCCCTTCTTGCGTCTGATTTGCCTGTATTACTTCGGCACCCCTTTTCGAGCTCTTGACCTAGCATAGAAACCTGCCTCTCCCATGGACTGATGCGTCAAGAAAATACTTACTTGTCTCTGATTCTGAGTATCCTGCTGCTCCTCCTCAAGAACCACCCACTGTGAAAAGGAGGGAAAATCCTGTACTTCCTTCATTTCCCAAGCTGCAGAGGACCAGGGGAGGCACCATAACCTGGATGCTTGCAATGCCAAGACACTCACAGCCCCCGAGGTGTGCCAGGATCTGCCTTATCCCATACTACATGGCTGTAAGCCACTATTTTAAGTAAAATCTCATCATTCGCACAGTGAGAACATTAATCTTCTACATTCCTACCTTCTCAACTTCCATTCTATTTGAGTAAGAATGGGGGCGATGGGGAGAACTTCTTAATGCTTAATCCACAAAGAGACACCATAGCCTTCACTCCACCAAATTCAGTGTGCCTACCTGGGTCAAGATCAACTCTCTTATCTGAACTTGAGAAACATGCCATTTTTCTCTGTCCCAGAACACTTCTGAATGGCAGAACCGACAGCAATCAAACCTTGTCACAGCTGTTGGTGTGGAGGAGAATGAATCTAACAATTCAAAATTAAAATTCTCTGATTTTTTAATTTGTTGGCATTATTTACATTAAACTTTTAAATTTTTAATTTTCAAGTCTTCAATTTCATGTCTTGTCTATATCAGGCTTGCAGAATAAAGTTACAGAAATTATAGGAGTAAAGAATTAGTTCAAAAGCCTTATGATATTTATAGCATGTGAGAAATAACTTTTGTCTGCATAGTAAAATACTCTAAGCTCTCTAGTTCATCTAGCATACACATTTTCAAAAAAAAAAAAAAGATAAGAAAAGAAGTCTGTGCAGGTGTAGAGGGGCAGGGGAAGGAGACAATTTGCATTGATCACAGAGCTCCAAAAGTGAGAGTGAGAAAATAGAGAGAGAGAGGAAAGGAGGAAGAGGGAGAAAGGGATGGAGGGAGGAGGAAAGGGAGGGATAGCTTCACCTTTGTTTCAACTTAAATGAAACACACAAAAATAACAAAATGTATTTTCCCCTAGATATTAATGCACAGACATTCAGGAAAAGTATTATCAAATAGTTGCTATCTAAACTTAAATTACTTCAAATTCTAGGAAGAAATCCATTTTGTTGATGCTTTTTTCTTCAAAATCTTAAAACTCCTTCTTCATATGATTTGAACACACCTCCAGAGAAGTTTAGCGTCATGCAATAGAGACAAGAAGCCTCTTGTCTCTGCATTGACTCTGCATAGGCTGTCTGTATGAGATGAGCCTTGGCTGGTCTCCATCCTGCCACTGGCTCCACAGGAAGCAGATAGCAAGACTATCAGGGCTGTTTAAGGCTCCTTTCAGGATGGAAACACTGAGTCACAGACGCTACATCACACTAATCAAAGAAACCCTCTTCTCTTCCTGGTCCTTGCCGTCTCATTTCACCCTAGTACCCACCCATCATTAACTCAAATTTCTCATTAACACTAACTAGCAAACTTTATTTTTAAATCAATACTGAATTCACTTTGGCTACACAGTCACAGTGCAAAGCAAAGTATATGGCTTATGACCTCAAAAACAGTTCCAAATGAAAGGGTTTGGGCCAGTGTTATGGGATTTAATTATATCTGGCAACAGTTTAGAATTGGTGAGCTTACAAAAACAATTTTTTTTTCTTCTTCAGGATTCTTAAGGACATTCTTGGTTTCCACAAACAGAAAAGTTTATTATTACAGCCTACATTAGCACCTTGGAAACCAGAGATTTATTTGATTGCCCTTTATAAATACATTTAGTAAGCTCTATGCCAAGAGTTACCTTACATTCTCTTTGTTACGGTGATTCTTATTGATACACATAATGTGCTACATTGATTCTGGTCAGTGACTGTATATTACTTGAATGAATCAAATGACTGTATATTAGTTGAATGAATTAAATGATTATCAATATAATGGATAAACATAGAGTATAAAAACAGATGTGAGTGGTTTTATAATACCTAAATCTTAAAACTCAAGGGCATATATGTCTATAAACATATGTATGATTATAGATACATAGATACATATTTGTCTACTTAAAAAGAATTGATATTTTATTGTCATTAACTGTTTCAACTACTAAGCCTTCAAGGCTGTGAATTCACTTGGTCAATATATGAATGCGGTGATTTTTAAGGCAATGCAAAAGGAATGAGATGTACATTTATTAAGCACCTGTTACATACTGTTTCATACCAGGTGCTTTATATTTGTGATATAATTTAAAATTCCACAGTACTCTGAATTGAATCCTATGATTCAGTATTTATGTAACGCTACTGCATCACTACTTCAATTTCCTATGGAAGGAAAGGCATACATATCAACAGACAGAAGTGTCTATATTCAGGATCAAAGACTCTCCAATGTGTGGATGAACTCTAAACCCTTGTTTTTCACTTATTAACGAGGACAATAAAACTATCTCATGTGTTGGTGAAAGTTAAAAATGACAATATAAAAATATAGCTAGGAAGTTGAGACTAAATCAATGTCAGTTTGCTTCCTCTAAGTTCTCCTCCCTCTTCTCCCTTCCCTCTCCCTACAGATACTGTTTCTGTTTCACAATCCCCTACTGTTGGATAGTTAACTAAAGAATCAGAAAATGGCAAAGCTCAAAGCGACTTTCATAACCATCCACTGACCTCATTTAACAAATGAAGAGAATAAGATACAAAGTGTTATATAAACACAGCTAAGCAAAGACAAAGGCACTAAAAAAATATCTCAAATTTAACAACTTTTCCACCAAAGATAAGCTAAGGTGTATAGCTAAATTAAAAACTGTTAATGTGCTGCCCACTTCCTATATCCCGTCCCACTCAGAACTTAATCAAGAATTCATTACCCAGTATCTCAGTGATGATTGGATAGTTAGCACTCTGTGCCTCAAAAAATGTAAACAGTGGAGTCCTGAAATATCACTCACAGGCCCTGTTTAATGGTTGCAGCAACCATTCAGTTACAGACAATTATTGTTATGTAGAAATGCTGATTCACTGTCTCTATATATTTTTCAAGAACAGACTGAAATCTGGGTATTAATGTAAAAGTTTTCAATTTTTAAACATGAAAGAGGTTAAACCAATCAACAGCTTGTACCTTTGGTGGCAACACAGAGAGTGTGGGAAACAAGCATTTCCTAATCCAGGAATATCCATGCAAGGTCTGCACTCAGCAAAGGAGTCAGGGAAAAGTAGAGGGAACTCATTGCTTCCCACCACTTTTATCTTATTTTCACTTTAATTTGAATGAAAACTAAGTCTTGATGAGGCTGCTCTATCAGATTTTGCTTCACACTCTTTGAAGTTCAGGGCTCATAAATAAGTGCTTAGTGAACATTTGTCATTTGATTCATTGGTTGTAGGATTGCTGTTAATTTGCTTCACCTTTCAGACAGATGCCCTTGATTCCTCTATTTCTTTTTAAACATCCATCCACTAAACATTCACTGTGCACCTGCAGTCTTCCAGGCCCTGTGCTGGAGATGATGAACAAAGAAATAACAAACAGACCCCACCTGGAGAGAACTCCAAGTCTAGAGTAGGACATGGCTATCTAACCAAATCACTCTTTTTGATGGTACTTAAAAGTTATCTTGGGTATGTTTACCTTTAAAGTGGCATTTGCTTTACTTACAATCCACCACATCTCACTCTGCCACAAAGAGGTTAGAAGCATTATTTTTTCAAAAAGTGCAGCTGTCAGTAATGATTAACACTATGGCTAGACATTCTGTATGAGAACGGATATAGGTGGTTTTATAAGGACCATGTGGTTACGTGGGACATGCATGTTGAACAGAGTCTGCAGACATCTTGCCCACGACTCCTTTTGCAGCATGCAGATGTAAATGAGCCGTGTGGAAGTCGCTGCTTCCGGAACAAGAAGACTGACTAACCAGTGAAGCTCGGGATTACTCATTTCAGCAGTCTTTTGCTTGTCTTGATGCAAAATACAAAACTCACACAAAATACTTGAGCAAAAGGAACGCAGGTCAACCGCATGAATTCAGGACGTTTCTGTTAGCTATTTTGAGTATCAAATCTGTTAAAATTTAAAACAGTCAAAGATGGAAGAAGCTGGGCTTAAATGAACGAATTCTCGAATTCTCTCAGCATCTGATTACAAAAGTTACAAGGGTACTTCAGGAAGTTCACAGGAAAATGGAATTAAAAGATTAATTTATTTTGGCACAAAGAACTTTTGAAACCCACACATAATTCTTTCATAATACACATCTACCAGGAAACTTTTGAAGAGCCCTTGTATCCATGGATTTCAAAATGCCTTGCACTAAAACAACTGCATCTTTTAATTCTGTTTTTCCATGAACTTTTTGAATGTCCCTCATATAAAAGGTGAAAATGATTCAGTAATTTTATTTAAATTAATTTTTATTTAAATGTTTACTTCTGAATACTTAGTATTTTATTGGCAAGGCATTATTTTAGATGCTGCAGAAATGAAAACATGGTTAAAATATGTTTCTGATCCTTAGGGAATATGTAGTCCAATTGGAAAATTAACCTTTAATTATGTGAAAAAAGAATTAGCAAAAGTAGGCTGCCCACAATACATTACCAAATGGCTGGTGTTGATAATCAGAGACATGTGTGCAGTCAGGTAGCAGTAACTATAAATTACAGCAATTCTGAGAGAAATTATGCTTGATGTGAGCCTTGGAAAAGGGTCAAATTTGGATAAAACGGAACGATAAGGGATGTATACAGGAGAAATGGGAGGAAGCAATGGAAACAATAGAGGAGGAGAGCTTTAGGGAAGTTGAGGAAACAGGATCAGGCCCATTTGACTGTAGGAGAGGTATCTTAGGGGGAAGAGTGAGGACTAAGGCTGCGAATGCAGTTTACAGTGAAACTAGCAACTACCTTAGGTAATGCTGAGCTATTAGACGGATATTTTTATCAGTGAAGCCACGTGATAAACATGGATATGAATTCAGGGCAAAGACCAGGAGTCAGTATTAGGACCAGGTCTGAGGGAAGCAATGCAAAAGCATCATTAGGCTCATAACTTAGCCATTTCTTCAAGTGAATACGTTCTTTTAAATATCTTGTTCAATACTGATTTAACAAGGCTCTAAGAAATCAATTTTTAATTGTGTAGATTATTTGCCATTTTATATTAAAAATATTTATATTAAGTCTACTACCACATGTTCACTCTTTTGAAATCCTCTTGTTTTCAAGTTCAAAATTATTTCCCACTTTTCTGAAGTCATGTTTTCTTTCTGCTTCCCTCACTAATTTCTTGGAACATTCAACTTCTTGGCATGTACTGAACAACACAGATGGTGAAGCCCTTTCCCCAGTAAACATTGCTACCTCATGTATTGTCCACCTGCAGAATTTCAGGGCACTGACCCATCTACCAGCTTGCAGCCTGAGAGTGACTCTCAGCTGATGACTTTCTGAGCTGATGGGTTGGCCTTTTGTGCACTGCATGACATCCACATCTATGTCACCACTTAACCTAAATGGGTCAGTGTCAGTGAGGATTTGTTCCATTTTTATTCTTGGGCACTACCTCCTAAAGGAGTAAGGCAAAAAAAACCTTGTCAATTTTGAAAGAGGTGCTTTGGGGATTTGAATAACAGGCACTTCATTTTGATTTACTACATAGGTACTGTGACACAGACAGGTAGACAAGGCAGCTGTCAGCTAGCTCACCTCTTAATCTGAACACGCTCAGGGCCAGTTAAACCTTCCATCTCAACAAATCAGTGTCATAGAGTCCATTTACCAACTCCGGAATGGCTGTCACACATCCAGTCAGGAACCACGTACCAGCACTCATATTTGTACAAGCGCATTCTATTGGGTGACCCAGGGATAAGACCCAATTCGAGTACACCTTGGTTTTGAATTTAGTAATCTAGTTCTGAGGTTACTTCTTCAGTTCTTACTCTTACCTGTGAAAAAAAAGCAGGAAGGCAAAAGAAGTCTTTTTTTTTTACTTCAATATTAAATCAATCACATGCCCCACAATGCATTTAGTAGACTATGAACTACTTTAACATTAAACCATCCAAAGAGAAATGAAATTCCTGTTACAAAAGAGTCATATATTGTGATATTGTTTTGCAATCTTTTTTTTAAAAAAAAGTCAACTATTTTAATGAACTGAAAGGCTCTCAAAGATGCCTCTGTAGCTACACCCCGTGCCAAATAAAAATTTTTTAAAAAGTAAAATTTAGAAGATAAAACACTAAAAAAAGAGACTAATAAGGTTTTGTTTTGTGTTTTATCAAATATTTTAATGAAATATCCTTATTTGAATCCATAAAAATATGAAAAAATTATAATTGAAACGTTATTTCTCTGAGAGAGTTTTCAAAAACAATCTAGGACTGGTGCCGCGGCTCACTAGGCTAATCCTCCATCTGCGGCGCCGGCACACCGGGTTCTAGTGCCGATCAGGGCGCTGGATTCTGTCCTGGTTGCTCCTCTTCCAGTCCAGCTTTCTGCTGTGGCCCGGAAGTGCAGTGGAGGAAGGCCCGAGTGCTTGGGCCCTGCACCTGCATGGGAGACCAGGAGGAAGCACCTGGCTCCTGGCTTCGGATCGGGGCAGCGCGCCAGCCACAGCGGCCATTGGAGGGTGAACCAACGGAAGGAAGACCTTTCTCTCTGTCTCCCTCACTCTGCCTGTCAAAAATTAAAAAAAAAAAAAAAATCTATAAAACTACTCTCGTGAAAATGAAATCTTAAGGAGGAATCAAACTGAAATGAAGAAACTAGTAGAATATGAAATTGTGATAGTGAAGAGAAATCAAAATGAAATGAAGAAGTCAATAGATCAAATGAACAAACGCATTAGAGAGCCTTAAAAACAGAGTCAGTGAAGCAGAAGAGAAAATATCGGACTTAGAAGACAGAGCACAGGCCGGCGCCGCGGCTCACTAGGCTAATCCTCCACCTTGCAGCGCCGGCACACCGGGTTCTAGTCCCGGTCGGGGCGCCAGATTCTGTCCCGGTTGCCCCTCTTCCAGGCCAGCTCTCTGCTGTGGCCAGGGAGTGCAGTGGAGGATGGCCCAAGTGCTTGGGCCCTGCACCCCATGGGAGAGCAGGAGAAGCACCTGGCTCCTGCCATTGGATCAGCGTGGTGCGCCGGCCGCAGCACACCAGCCGTGCCATTGGAGGGTGAACCAAGGGCAATGGAAGACCTCTTTCTCTCTGTCTCTCTCTCACTGTCCACTCTGCCTGTCAAAAAATAAAAAAAAATTAAAAAAAAAAAAAGACGGAGCACAGGAAAGTAGACTATTCTAAATTTCAAAACTATCATGTATACACATTACATGCATAGAATACCATGATCAGCATGTGGCAATTCTGCCCGAATGATGATTTTTCATATGTGGGGAATTAATTGGTGGTTTTGCCCATCTGTACCAGAGATGAAGATGCAAAAACCCACACCACCACTGCAAATATAGACCTAGCTAGGTGTTAGTGCAGTGTCAATAGGAAGTACTTAAAGCATGCATGCTGATAGAAATACTAATTCTATTGAACATATCCCCTTATTGTTACCCTTTTCAATACAAAAATTAAACTATGTGCACACTATATTGAGTATTTCAGAAGGGGGAGGGCATTGTTCCTTAAAAGAGACTTCCAGGAACAGGCATTTAGCTTAGAAATTAATATGCCGGGGCCTGGCGCTGTGGCGCATCAGGTTAAAGCCCTGGCCTGGAGCACTGGCATCCCATATGGACACCAGTTCGAGTCCCAGCTGCTCCTCTTCTGATTCAGCTCTCTGCTATGGCCTGGGAAAGCAGCAGAAGATGGCCCAGGTCCTTGGGCCCCTGCACCTGCATGGGAGACCCAGAAGAAGCTCCTGGCTCCTGGTTTCGGATCGGCACAGCTCTGGCCATTGCAGCCATCTGGGGAATGAACCAGCAGATGGAAGACCTCTCTCTCTGTCTCTACTCTCTCTGTAACTCTTTCAAATGAATAAAATAAATCTTAAAAAAATAAATTATTATGCCATTAAGATACTTGCATCCCATATGGAAGTACCTGGGTTGAATGCCTGGCTCCTCCTGCTCTGATCAAGCTTCCCGTAAATGCAGACTGTAGGAGGTGACACGGAATGATGACTCAAAGCTGCATCCCTGTCACTCATGTGAAAGATGGGCTGAGTTCCTGGTAGCTGATTTTCTTCATGGCCCAGTGCAGATTGTTGTGGGCATTTGGGGAGTGAATCAGCAAATGGGAGGGTCGGGTCCTCTCCTTTCCTTTCTCTCTCTCTGTCTCTCTCTCTCTCTCTCTCTCTCTATGTCTGTCTCTCTGCCTCTCAAATTGATAAATTTTAAAAATTATTTTATACAAGAGTCTTCCACAACTGCTGCTGTCTAAGGTTTGACAGTGAAGCCTACTATCAAGAACACAGAAATACTTGCCAGCCTGAAGAAAAACACACTTGTATATGATGGATTTCCCCAATACATGGCCCTAAAAATGTGCAGATTTGTGATAATTATATCATCTCCTTATTTCTACAGAAAAACAGCCCACCAGGCCATGGCAAGCATGTAAACTAGATAATAATGTATTTATAGAAGAACACATGCGAGACGTGTGGGGAGAGGTTTGGGCTCTACCACTTACTATCCATAACACCTGGAAAGAGATACCTGATTTCATATATCTCAAAAGTTTCATCTGTACCTTAAGGGTAATGTCTGCCTCTCCAATACAGTACCTGTGTAAAACAACATACACCAAAATAAACTTTAAAGCCGCATGAATTTTCAAAGCTTTTGCTGTGTCTCATAATCAATGTGAGAAATCCTTTCCATACGAGCACACAGATTTCTAAGTACACCATTCACTGCTTTATTTATTAAATATCTGTCAAAATTTTTAAATCCTAGGAGTGGTATCAGACGCTGTGTGTACACTGAAGATTAAACAAAGTGTCTGCCTACATGGGAATAGCAGAAAAACCATAAGTGAGTTTGTGTGTGTGTGTGTGTGTGTGTGTCTATGTGTGTATCTGTTTACCAGATTTACAACTCCACTGGGTACTCTAACAGAACTGGGTGGGAGGAGGCTCCACTGAAAGAGCTTAGAGAAGGGTGACATTTAGGCCCAGATGTGAAAGATGGGAAAGAATGAATCAAGCTGGTGTGGGTATGGATGGAAAAGTGGGTTAATGTGTGAATGGGGACTTCGCATTGAGGAAATTTTGAATTTTGCAACTTAAGTAGCCATATTCAACCACATGAGCAGGCTGGCACTGTGGCATAGTGGGCTAAGCCTCTGCCTGCAGTGCCAGAATCTTATATGGTCACCAGTTCATGTCCAAGCTGCTCCTCTTGGATCCAGCTCTCCGCTATGGCCTGGGAAAGCCGTAGAAGATGGCTCAAGTGCTTGGGCCCCTGCACCTGCATGGGAAACCGGGAAGAAGCTCCTGGCTCCTGGCTTTGGATCAGCTCAGCTCCAGCCGTTGCAGCCATATGGGGAGCGAACCAGAGAATGGAAGACCTTTTTGTCCCTCCCTCTCTCTGTAACTCTGCCTCTCAAATAAATAAATAAAAATCTTTACAAAAAATGAATAACCAAGTGTGTCAGTAATTATGAAATAAAACAAAATTAAATCACAACCCCAAATTTTCTTTGCTCCTTACTTATTCTCTAAGCAATAACTTTTGTTATTTATTCTAGTGTTTTTCAAAATATTATAGTCATGATCTCTAGAGATAACAGGTTTTAAAAATGATTGTTCTGGGGGCTGGTGTTATGGCACAGCAGGTAAAGCTGCTGCCTGCAATGCTGGCATCCTATATGGGGGTCAGCTCATATCCTAGCTGCTCCATTTCTGATCCAGCTCCCTGCTAACGCCCTGAGAAAAGCAGCAGAAAATGACCCGAGCGCTTGAGCCCTGCTATTCAGGTGGAAGACCTGGAAGAAAGTCCTGGATCTTGGCTTTGGCTTCAGTCACTGCAGCCATCTGGGAAGTGAAGCAGTGGATGGAAGATATCTCTCTCTCTCTCCCTCCCTCCCTTCTTTCCCCCCTCTCTCTGTAACTCAAATAAATAAATAACACTTCTTTAAAAAATGATTGTGCCAAGGCCCCACTCTAGGGCCTTCCCACTTAGGGAAGAACTGTGAAATATGCTCTATAACAAGATTCTAGGGCAATCTGAGTGGTCAATAAGAGATGAGAAATGTTGGACTAGGTGTTGCATCACATAATACACACTCATTCCCTGACCACAAAGAATCCATAAGATAGTCCAAGTGATAAGATAGATGTACTTGTAACACAATACCATGTTAGGATTTATGCCAAAGCATATGTAACCTACACATGGGAGTTCATTATGTGAGAGATCAAGGGACACATCAGCCTGTAGCTACCCACTGTAATCCACCATAATGTGGGAGTGAGAATCCTGTGGACCCTGGGAGACTCATCCAGGAACATTAGTGAGCAAACAGATCAGAGATTAAGTGATGCTCCAGAAATTCTAACCTAAAGGAAATACTTGCATAGCAGAGCTCTGCCCAATATCTTCAACCATAAATGCCTGGGAAATACAGAAAGGAATGGAGCAAAGCACAAATGGAGCACAGGAATGCCAAATTGACCATCAAAACCCTCTAAGAAAATTGTCCAGAAAGAGTGATCTGAATTGCTACAAACTCAATCAAGAAATTCTGCCTATCTCTTCAGTCCTTGTTCTGCCACTCCAGTCAAATGTAAATAAACCTTCACTTACATAATCAAAACTGCCTACCCTTGGGATAATTCTGGCTTTGGAAAGGAAATATATTACAACCTGGACCAGAAAAGCTTTGGTTTAGCATGGAAACATATACATGCTGAACTGCCATCATCCATTCCTGCTTCTCAAATTGATGCCTAAATTGAGCTACTTGGTTAAGCAGATTTACTCAGGCTGCC